ACCACATGTTCCATTTTCCCTCTTTTCATAACATGGCCTAAAAATGATGACTGTCTCCTTCTGATGTCATGTGATTAGTTGTCTTCTGGCTCCCGCAACTTTCAAAATCTCTTGGTTGCTTTTTTGGCTGTCCAGGGTATTTTAAGCATTGTTCTGTAAAACCACATCTCTGAGGCCTCAAGAAATTGTTTGGCCTGCCTACCAATTGTCCAGGACTCACAACACATTGCCTTTAAATATAAGTGCTTACTTGATGAGGCTAATAGTTACTATTGAAGAGACCACATTTTCCACTTTTAAATTTCAGCCAAAATGTAATCACAAACTTTCTTATCCGCTGCACCTTCACGAATACAGATGGAGGATCAGTCGCACCTCGAGATAAATACAAAGACAATTTTTAGCATGCTGCAGTTGTCATTTCATGCAGTATGATACACTTTGAGCGTGAAACAAGGAAAAAACTATTTTCGACAGTGGCGAGGAAAGACAATTTAAGTTTTAACTTTTAAGTATCTTCATGCGTTTTTTAATAATGTCACAGTTTATAGCTGACTTTTTTTTTGATTTTCGCTGCGGCACCCCTGGCATACGCACCCAGTTTGAGAACTTCTGCTATAATGCCTCGGTCGAGTCAGCAGGCAAAAACCTTGCCAGCTGCTGTGCCACGCAACCGGGTCGCAGTTTCCCCTGCTACGACAGACTTAGGCAACAGCAACTATTGTGTTAATGAGAGAGTTATTTCAGTCCATCGCAGTGTATGCAAAACGGGTGTAACCACTATTCGTATTTGGCCCGACCGCAAGTATTCGGCCGAATGCTGAATAGTTATTAGGTACACTATTCTGCCCTGAAGCGAATACGAAGCGAATATTCGGTACAGTCCTAATATATATAAGACCTAATACATTGCAACAGAAAATTTTTTATAAGTATCTCATAGATATTATGTTACAAAACTGTAAATATCAAGTGTCGTGCACATAGAAATAAATTAATGTTCCTGCTTGGCTGGAGCATTCAGGCAAGCTTGTGCTTCTGCTGCTAATCTATATTGTGTCAGCCTCTCTGTAGTTCCAAGCATGGCATCTTTCAGCTTTTAATACATCACTTGCTAGCAGTCTGCCTGCTTCCTGTTCGCATATTTAAGTCAGCTAAGGTAAACATTGTTTTTTGTTTTTGTTTAACTTTTTAGCTGCTGTTTCCTATTGCTTTCCCCAACACTGATTTTTAATACATGATAAGCGTGTGGTTTGTTTTTTCCTTTTTTGTCTGTGTCCTTGCATAGATTATAAAATGGATGTTTTCATTTGTAAAACTGCCAGTGTAGTTTTGTTTATTCCTAAACCTCAATATTTAACTTTGTTTATTTGTAAAACTGACTTTTTTTTTTTCATTTGCAAAATTGGCCAATATGGGTGTGTTTATTTGTTAAACTGACAATATAGTTTTGTTTCTTTGTAAAACTGACCATTTGGCTGTGTTTATTTGTAAAACTTGCTAAATGGATGTGTTTATTTGTAACTAAAGGAGAGGTCCCTTTACACGCCAGTGGCACATCAGGCATATAAAGGCTAGACTCATGTTTATGTAGATAAATCGGTCCTCAATTAGTGATGTGGTCAAAATCATACCGCCCGCCTTTGCTTCCCTTGAGTTTACCTTAAACCAGTTTAAAACTGGGTCGATCTAGAAGCCAAGGTTATGTTTGAAAAAATCTGGCCCTATGCGAATTTAAACCCATGATATTCAGATCTGCAGGCAAGCATCTAGCCGCTATACCATGGCAGCTCTTTATTGATTTGTAAAAGTGATTCTATTTATTTATATAAAATCTGCTAATCAGCCATTTGCATATGTGGACTGGCACCTGAGACAACAGATCCTCCAAGACAGTCCCAAATACAATGTTTCCAGACAAAACTTCTGGTCTAGAGAGACACTGGTGGCAGCCAAACTGTACGGGCTGCTAACTGAATTACAAAAGACTGAAGTTCATACCAGAGACAGCACTGCAGATAAAGATAATTAATTTCAAGCGAATGAAAGAAGAAAGAAAATATATGTATATGTATATTTGTAAAACTAACTATATGTGTGTAAAATGATTAAATAGTTTTGTTTTTATATTTAGAACTGACAAAATTTCTTTCTTTGTTTTAAATCTGACTGTTTTGTGTGTGTTTGATGTTAAACTGGATTATATGGGTATGTTTAAATGGTTAATATGACTATATAGGTATGTTTATTATATTATTTTTGTTTTTGTTTTAATTTGTAAAAGTAACCGCATTGTTTTCTTTTTTTATTATTTGTAACACTAACAATAGTATTTTGTCTTATAGTAAGATTGTAATTTGTTTAACTGACTATGCATGTTTTTTATTTGTGATGCTAACTTTATAATTTTGTGTTAAATTGGAAATCTTACTATATGGCTGTGTTTGTTTGCAAAGCTAACTGTATGGTTTTGATTTGTGGGTTTGTTCATCCATTTAAGTGTGTTGGAAATAGGTTGTTTTATTCCGGATTCTCTCATAAATGTTAAATAACAGTTCTAAATTTTCTGCTAGTCATAGAATTAAACATGGATGGGACGACATCGTGGCATTTCTATTTCTCAGTGTCTACAAGGTGCAGACAATTAAGTAATGAGACTGATTTTATTATGGCCAAGACAAAATTGCTATATATAAAGCAAAGCATGAAATCTAAGGAGACAACATTCATCTATGATCTGGCAACTTTTCATCACCCCTCGATAAGCAGACAACAAACAAGCCGCCATTTTGTTAACCTAGTCAGAGATGCATTGTTACGTAATCAGCACGGAGCAAAAAGCTAACATTAAATTCTTATTAAAACCCAAAAAAGTGCCATTGAAACAGTTCAATTGATTCAACAAGTTTATGGGGATAATTGTTTATCTCATGCACAAAATTTTCAGGTGGTATTCACGATTCAAAAGTGGTGTAGAAATGATTACTAATGCACCTAGACCTGGACGCCAAATTTATGTTCATAATAATGAACTCATTGTAACATCAACTTTAAGGGTCATAACAACAGAAGAACTACAGAGTTCGTCCCAGTGTTTGTTAAATCGTGCCACTTGCTGTATCAATGCATAAGGGGCTTACTTTGAATAAAATACAGGTTATATTTTCAAATGTTAATTATTATAATTTTTATGGAATTAGTCTCATTACTTAATTGTCCGACCTTGATTGTATAATAATACTGATTCTTTCTTTTCACTTGTTTATCTGTTATATGGTACATCATAAACATTAACTTTATAAAAAATCATATTATAGTACTTAAAAGATGTATGTTTGATATGATTAATTTAATATTTTTCACCATTTACATTTCTATGTCTCTCCAGTTAGTGAATTTTCAATGCAGCATGTTTATATTTAGTTGATCATGTGTTAAACTACTTATTGCTTAAATTACTTATTGCAATACTTGTTAGACTACTTTTTTTGTTTGTTCATTTTTGCTGTAGGTTTAGTCCAGGTGGAATAAGCACATCATTGAACTAAAAAATATCATGTCTACAACCTGTGGAGAATAAAAGATGGAAAGCTTAAAGGGAGACAACTTTGTCAAATCTGCAACACAAAAACTAGCAAAAGGCCCCTAGCCTTGGCTGGCAGCTTGTCTAGAAGGGAATCTCCAACAAGCAAACAGATAGAGCACTGCTCTTCTGATCCGGCAGCTTCTGCAGCCTGTTTTGTTCCAAACGTACTGGTGTTACCTTTCCATTGAAGTCAACAAGGCAGGTCGAGAGAGAGATGCATGGGCAACATGTGGTCTCTACAGCTTTGTGATATGGAGAGGATGAATTGGTCTTAGAAACGAATCGAGAGGCAGCAGTTGCAGGTTATAAATCCTTGTCAATTGATCCCATTCTATCTTAACACTGGCAAGTCTTGCTAGTCACACTCACCATCGCCATGGGCTGTGAGTTCCATGTCTCCTCATAGCATAGTATAACACTATCATCTAAAAAGAAGGAAAAGTGCCAATCAATCAGTCAACACTAGCAGATCCTGGTTTAAGCACATCAGCAGCCAAACCCTCTACCTAGCACACAGGTTCCATGTCCAAGTTCATAGAAAATCGTCTTGTACTGAGAAAACGATAACTCAAAATAAAACACACACAAAAGAAAGAAACAACCATAAACTAGAAGATTGCCAAAATAATACCTGGACCCATGCATGTAAAATTGAAGCAGCACAAAAATTAACAGAAAGTGTTCAAGCAGATATACTCCTGAATCTAAAACAATTGAGAAAACAAAACAGTCAGTGGCAACTGAGAAGAAAATATGTTTAGAGCAAAGAATGAGCAGAAATTCTGACAATAGAGGGAAAAGTAAAAGAGAAACGCATAGTGGTCTTCACCGATGTGAAGTCAGTTGTTGAAGTAAAGAGAAACACCTAGCTATCTTCACATATGTAGATCAGTTGTTTCAACACTGAGGAGCAAAGTTAATATATAACTGGCAGATCTAAGAGAAGATTCCATAAACTGTGTCAGAAATTATTTTGAGTTATAAAACAGTAGATCCCATCCAAAAATTCCTGGAAAAAAAACCAGAAGTATAAAGTTTGGTAAAGTAAGGTAGGGAGGGAACTGCCTTTTCCTAATATACACATCCTTTAATGATGCCGTCATCTCTCCCTTTTCCATTTATCATTGCCTTTTACCCTGGCCTGTTTTCATGTTTGGTGTATACATGTGCTCTTTGTCATCATATGTCTTGCATATTCATCTGGGTGATGATGCTTATCTTTTCTAAGTCACCAACAGATTGTATGATTTTGTGTGCTGACACCTTTCCCTGACTTGATAAAACAGTGTCAAGAATCAAGTCACATTGTCTTTCTCTACTCCTCTCTTCATATGTGTTTTCACTTGTCACAAGCTCTAGTTTATAATCATCCGATTATGTGCCCCCTAAAAAAATTATGACTCTCTCCTTGCAGGATCCCAAGACAAGATTCCAGTCAGCAGTGGCCAGCACCTCCATGCAGAACGTGGTGACAACCACCATGAAACATTGCTCACTGGACAAACAGCTGTCTGTAGCATCGTCTTCATGTCTGTCCCCACCTGTATATTTGGGCGGTGCTTCATCAGTGTCATTCTCCTTGAGCAAGGAATCAAATATTTCTGGGTATGATAAAAAAAATAACTTACACAGCTTTAATATCTGTTAGTGCTTCATCATGGCTGTCTGCAGGTAATTCATGCTGAGAGCTGTAGCTATCACTTCACACACTCTTGGTGTAATATAAATGAAATAAATAAGATGTGTGTAGAAAAAAGAAGGGGGGGCAGATATGATAAGTTTAATAAATGAACAAGTTAATAAATTTAATTAAAGTAAGCTGTGTTGAATTCAGTTGGAATAATGGGAAGACAGAAGTAATGGTGGTATTAAAGAAACGAATTATTCCTAAATGTGTAATAAAAGTCGATGGTGTTATTCTAGGACAAGTACATAAATTTAAGTATCTGGGCACATGGATAACTTCAGATGGAAGATGCATAACTGAGATAAGAAACAAAATAGGACAGGCAAAAACTGCATTTTATAAAATGAAAAACATCTTGTGCAATATATCCTTGTCATTGAGAGAGAAAAAGAATTCTTGCTTGCTACATACATCCAGTTTTAACATATAGCTGTGAATCCTGGACAATCGGTAGGCAGGCCAAACAATTTCTTGAGGCCTCAGAGATGTGGTTTTACAGAAGAATGCTTAGAATACCTTGGACAGCCAAAAAGAACAACCAAGAGGTTTTGAAAGAGGCGGGAGCCCGAAGACAACTTATCACAGACATTAGAAGGAGACAGTCATAATTTTTCGGTCATGCTATGAGAAGGGGGAAAATAGAACATGTTGTGACCACTGGAAAGATCTGTGGAAGGAGGGATAGAGCCCAACTTTTTTTTTAATGACCTAGGCTCCCAGGTTGACCTAGTCTTGAGTCGGTAACGGGTGCAGTCCCGGGAAGTAAAGGCGGCAGGCGTGACGCTGACCACATCACCCATTTTGTGCCGATTGGTTTATAAAAATATAGGTCTAGCCCTATACACCTAATGGCGTGGAAAGGTGTGTTTGTGTGTGTGTGTGTGTGTGTGGTATTTCTCCCCCTATTTTTACATACACTTACTTACTTATTTCGTTTTATAACGCTACATATGCATATTTTCTCCATATTATGTACTTCTTGGTTTCAGGTTGACCTTTGTTTCTTAGAATCTCTGTCGTCTTGTCCGCTGAGTTTTCCAGTCACTGTGCTGTATTTAGTATTCGGTTGATTAAGACTTTGGTCAAAATCTTCAGTTGAATTTGCATGTGTTTTTTCCCATTCCCTCCATTGAGCTTTCTAGTCACATTTTATGTTATATTTAGGACTTTTTGTCATTACCTGCACTGTGGATACCATTCCATGCAATGAAGTTGATGCTCTTGACTTTGCATTTAACCTTCTACTCCAGAAATAATTAAGTTTTCCCAAAGACAACATTTATATCAGCACATGAACTAGTGTCTGCTACTGGAGATCACAGGAACTGGGTAGAGCAATATCACACACGCCAGTCAAACAAGGCATTTGATAAAAATGATGATATGCAATTAGAGTGTTTCATTCAGCAAACATTCTCTGCTTCTCTTCCACAGAGGTGACAGATTGTCAAAAGACGAAGAAGCTTTCAGAAAAGGGTATGTCACTAGTCAGTGTTTCGCAAATGCTTGGATTTTTTTTTTCTGGTTGTTTTTTCTGTGTTTGCATCTTCTCTATGTAGTTTTCTCACATCACTGTATATTAGAACTAACTGTTTCATATGTTATGTATTGTTATCACAATTGATGTCACTGCACATTTAGCATTCCTATGCGTGCTTAATGATCCTATGCAGCAGCCACTCCATGGTACCTCAACTGATTATACCAGGTTATATTGTGTCCTACCTCAGCCTCAAAGGCAGCATATATGTGCTTTTTTTCATGCTTTACTTCCATGGAAGTTACCTTATGTTCATTGGTTAGTCCAGTGTTTCCAAACATTTTCTTAGTTGAAATGCCTTTTCTTCAGTTTAAAATTTTCCACGGTGCTTAACCTAAGTAAAGGTATGACTATTCATATGTAAGAGGTCAAAACAAATAAAACTTTGCGGTACCCCCCTGTGAAGAGGTCATGGCTCCCCAGGGCTTCGCGGCACACAGTTTGGGAATCACTGGGTTAGTCCAAAGTACACATGTCTTGCCGACTTTATTCTTTATCAAACTGTTATATTAATTCATTCTATAAGAATAGTTAGCCGGTTTCCTTGTACACCACAACATTATTCTTATTTCTTTAGATTTACACTTTTGCTACTTTAAACCAAAACAGTTCGGTACAGAAATAGTTAGGGTTATGTCTGTGTGGTACTGACAGATTTTGCACAGTTAACTGTAATTAGTATCTAAAGTAGTCTCTCTTTGACATACCCAGAATTTCTTCTTCTGTCTGTCAACATACAAAACAAAAAATATCAGCTTCAACTTCAGCTAACACAAACATCTCAGCTTCACTGTCAACAAGCAAGCTTCACTCTAAACAAACAAAAACATCTCAGCTTCACTGTCAACAAGCAAGCTTCACTCTAAACAAACACAAACATCTCAGCTTCACTGTCAACAAGCAAGCTTCACTCTAAACAAACACAAACATCTCGGCTTCACTGTCAGCAAGCAAGCTTCACTCAAAACAAACACAAACATCTCAGCTTCACTGTCAGCAAGCAAGCTTCACTTTAAACAAACACAAACATCTCAGTTTCACTGTCAACAAGCAAGCTTCACTCTAAACAAACACAAACATCTTAGCTTCACTGCCAGCAAGCAAGCTTCACTCAAAACAAACACAAACATCTCAGCTTCACTGTCAACAAGCAAGCTTCACTCTAAACAAACGCAAACATCTCAGCTTCACTGTCAGCAAGTAAGCTTCACTTTAAACAAACACAAACATCTCAGCTTCACTGCCAGCAAGCAAGCTTCACTCAAAACAAACACAAACATCTCAGCTTCACTGTCAACAAGCAAGCTTCACTCTAAACAAACGCAAACATCTCAGCTTCACTGTCAGCAAGTAAGCTTCACTTTAAACAAACACAAACATCTCAGCTTCACTGTCAACAAGCAAGCTTTACTCTAAACAAACACAAACATCTCAGCTTCACTGTCAGCAAGCCAGCTTCACTCAAAACAAACACAAATATCTCAGCTTCACTGTCAACAAGCAAGCTTCACTCTAAACAAACACAAACATCTCAGCTCCACTGTCAGCAAGCAAGCTTCACTTTAAACAAACACAAACATCTCAGCCTCACTGTCAACAAGCAAGCTTCACTCTAAACAGACACAAACATCTCAGCTTCACTGTCAACAAGCAAGCTTCACTCTAAACAAACACAAACATTTCAGCTTCACTGACAGCAAGCAAGCTTCACTTTAAACAAACACAAACATCTCAGCTTCACTGTCAACAAGCAAGCTTCACTCTAAACAAACACAGATATCTCAGCTTCACTGTCAGCAAGCAAGCTTCACTTTAAACAAACACAAACATTTCAGCTTCACTGTCACTGTGAAAAAACAAGCTTCATAAAACCTAACAATTAAAGTTTTACTGTGGGCAAACACAAAAATCTCGGTTTCACTGTGAACAGACACAGATATCTCAGTTTTGGTGTGAACTAGCACTCTTCACTGTGAACAGTTACAAACATCTCAGTTTCACTTTGAAGCATTAAAAACTTTACAGTGAACAAACACAGACATCTCAGTTTCATTGAAAACAAACATCACAGCTTCACTGTGAACACACACATCTCATTTTCACTTTGAACAAACACCAACTTCACAGCATTTCTGAACAAACACCAGCTCTACTGCGAACACACCAACTTCACAGCATCACTGAACAAACACCAGCTCTAATGCGAACACACCAACTTCACAGCATCACTGAACAAACACCAGCTCTACTGCGAACACACCAACTTCACAGCATCACTGTGAACAAACACTACCTCTACTGTGAACACACCAACTTCACAGCATCACTGAACAAACACCAGCTCTACAGTGAACACACCAACCTCACAGCATCACTGTGAACAAACACCAACTCTACTGTGAATGCACCAACTTCACAGCATCACTGTAAACAAACACCAGCTCTACTGTGAACACAGCAACTTCACAGCGTCACTGTGAACAAACACCAGCTCTACTGTGAACACTCCAACCTCACAGCATCACTGTAAACAAACCCCAACACTACTGTGAACACTCCAACCTCACAGCATCACTGTGAACAAACACCAGCTCTACTGTGAACACAACCAACTTCACAGCATTACAGTGAACAAACACCAGCTTAGTGCACAAACTCTCTACCACCAGCAAGGACCCATTTAAGTTTTTCAACAAGAATCACAGATGCTATAATTATTCATTTCATCAGTAGGTTTGATAATAGCACTGCACAGCAAGAGTTGTTAAAGGATATAATTTGATAATTGCACCAGAGAGCAAGAGTTGTTAAAGGATATAATTTGATAACTGCACCAGACAGCAAGAGTTGTTGAAGGATATAATTTGATAACTGCACCAGACAGCAAGAGTTGTTAAAGGATATAATTTGATAATTGCACCAGACAGCAAGAGTTGTTAAAGGATATAATTTGATAATTGCACCAGACAGCAAGAGTTGTTAAAGAATATAATTTTATAATTGCACCAGACAGCAAGAGTTGTTAAAGGATATAATTTGATAATTGCACCGGACGGCAAGAGTTGTTAAAGAATATAATTTTATAATTGCACCAGAAGCAAGAATTGTTGAAGGATATAATTTTATAATTGCACCAGACAGCAAGAATTGTTAAAGGATATAATTTGATAATTGCACCAGAAGCAAGAATTGTTGAAGGATATAATTTTATAATTGCACCAGACAGCAAGAGATGTTGAAGGAAATGATCCCATAATTGGGCAGTAGAAGTTGATGAATCAGTATTAATATATTAATAATAAACAAAGCAGTAGTCATTTTGAGCTTTTTCATCATCTGCTATTTTGATTGTCAGCACAACCGATATAGATGCAACATAGACTAGCTTTTGATGTTGATGATGATAATAAGATATACATATCATGTTGTTTAACATTCTACAGTTTTGAGGAGGGTCTAAAGACCAAGTTGTCCCATGAGCTCAGTGATCTCCGAGATCAACAGAACTCCATCAGCCACAGCCTGGACCACATGATGGACAGGGTGGAGCAGTCGCAGCTGGAGGAGGAGGAGTATTTCAACCGGTCAGTGGACACTGTCTCTCTTGACATGGTTTTTATTTAGTTAAGGATTTTTGTTCTCATTTGTTATATTATGATTGACCATGTGCACATTATTTACACTGATATCGTCTGGTTATGTCTACATTTGTTTATGGCAAGACTATTTGTGCAAACAGGGTTTGTAATTCCAAAATACCTAGTTTGATCGAAGCTGCAGGCAGTTTGGCAGCCGACAGATTTGCGTTGATTTTGCCAATGATGTGGAACGCTTACCATTCAGAAAGCAGTGGCAAACTACTGAATGTAAAATTACCAATTAAAATCATTAACAGTCAAAAATTGCTGGTGCTGATTCTGCAGCATTCATCAAGGACAACATATAGTAAGATTGTCTACATTCACATTGTGTATACTAGAATTGTCTTCACTGACATTGCTTACTGTTAAATTGTCTACAATATTTTTTATTAGGTACATTACTTTTTTCATGTTACTGATATATCAGGCATAGGATCTAGACCCATATTTTTATAGATCAGCCAGCCCTGGGTTGCCACCCTTTCTTTTCAGCAGTTCCCTGGTATTTAGTGTAGGCTGGGCCAGCTTTCAAGCCCTCCATCAATTGTTAAAGTTAACCTCACTGCAGCATTGAGCCCTAGACCTTTGGCTCAACAGGCAAGCATCTAGCCACTGCGCAACCACGCCTTTCAATTTAACATTGAATTTAATGTATCTGCATTCATATTGTTTGTACTGAAATTATTGATAACCGCCGTCAGTGACTGATAGATGAACACACCCACTGATGTTAACAGATGAAGTCTTTCATTTTACCAGATATACTTTCCTTCATTCTTGTAGAGTTAATGACTTTGAACAGAGAAGACAAACAATAAATAGACTGCACAGTTTATTGCCTGGCATATTTTACATTATCTTTTATATGTGTGCTACAGTCTTCTCTTCTTCTGCACAAGAACTTATGCTATAAAACATCATAGAGCAGAGTTCGATGTGGTTTCCTGTCTGATGCTAGTTGTGTAGCTTGTGTTAATGTCATACTGTGTTTCTGTTGTGTCTCTTTTACCCCCTCCACCCGTCTCTTTCTTGGTGGGCCTCTTGAACTGTAGCCTACTGTTGTCATTATGTAACCTCTAACTGCTGGCTGTTCTAACCAAATACCAAACCATTTGATGTTCTGTGAAATCATTTACTGGTAGTGTGCCTACTGTTGTTTTAGTTTTTCATTGGTGTCTCGGTCTCTTCATGTTTTTCCTGCTGCACCTCAACTCACATTTTGTGTTTATGTTTTTCTAAGAGTGTCTGTGTCTGGCATTGGTAGCACAAAGTTGGTACTACAGTGACAATTGAATACAACAAAACAAGAAATCTGTTGGTTTTTTTCTTGTTTATATTCACAAAAGGGAAACATTGTTTTGAATACATGATTATTTATGAATTGTATTTGTTTACTATTGTTTCCCCAGACCATCTCGATTGGAATCAACGCTATCAGTAGTATCCAAGTTTGGAGGTTACATGTTGCGGTACGACTGGAGGTCGAGCAAGAACATTGTTCGCAATCTGGCAGGAGTTTTGTTTGTCTTCCTGGCATGTCTTATTGTGTTCCTGTCTCCTCCTCTTTCCACAATTGATGTGAAACATTTCACTAAACCACCTCAGTGAGCAGTTCCTATATGAATACTCATGTGTTGTCATTGGATGATTTATGTTGACTGTTATGGATGAGATAGTATGTGAATACTTAATTGTGTTGTCTTAAAGTATGGTGTTGTTATTTGTCATTGGATGAGATAGTATGGTGATGATGATTATGTGAATACTTCTTAATTGTGTTGTCATTGGATGAGATAGTATGGTGATGATGATTATGTGAATACTTCTTAATTGTGTTGTCATTGGATGAGATAGTATGATGATTATGTGAATACTTCTTAATTCTGTTGTCATTGGATGAGATAGTATGGTGATGATGATTATGTGAATACTTCTTAATTCTGTTGTTATTTAATATAATGATTCCATAAATGGCATCTAGGACCCCAGTGTCAGAGAGAAGAGAATGGACCCACTGCTGCTTACCAAGTGTCATCAAAGGAGACTAATTAAGATTTGCTGAACTTAGATGTGTTGAGCCTTATGGTGCCCTTTAAAAGAGGAATGACGAGGGAGGATGAAATGATGATGATATGAATACCTCTTATTTCTGTTGTCCTTGGATCTTTTTCTTCTTCTTTACATCCTCTTTTACCACTTCAGGTGTCTAGGTCTTGCTTTGTGCTCTTCTGGCTGCTTTGACCATAAAAATATTGTAGTGCTGTAGAGTTTCTGTGATGTTATCTTCCCATCTTGTTCTTGGTTTACCTCTTGCTCTACGTCCCTCTCCTCTATGATATATGCCTCGTATGGTATAGCATCAGAATGTCGTTGGATGAGAATGTGTAATTTATGTTAGGTTGTAGGTACCCCACAGTTCCTGCTGCTCATGTTTGGCTGTGAAAGTGTGTTCCCAGCGATCATATTTGAGAGTCATTGGAAGACTGTAGAGCAGGGCTATTCAACTGGCGGTCCGTGGGCCATGTTTGGCAAACGGGATCCCTAGCAAGTGGCCAGTGGTTCATTGCTTTTCAGGTAGATGCTTTGTCGAAACAGCGGTCATTGAACAACAGAAAAACAGGAGTAATGAGATACAAAGAAAATGAGTCCTCAAAAATGCAACATCAATGTAAGTGGGACAATCCTCAAGCAAGGTGATATGTTTCAGCACTTAAGTACCCTGATAACAGCAGATAAAAGGGTTTTAACAGAAGTTAAATGTAGATTAACTTAAGCAGAGCAGAATTTCCCAGAATAAGGAATATTCCTAGTCTTATTTCTTTGTCAGTTGAAGAAAATAGTATTCTCAGGACAGTATAAATCCTATCCTGATGAGGACACCCTAAACAGATTTATTTTTTTAAACAATGAAGATGTCCTGAAAGAAACTGACTCACCACGTGACCTGATTGCTACATCAGAGGGAGACAATCTGCATTCCTTGGTCATGTTATGATAGAGAAACAACTGGAATACATCGTGATAGTGGGAAAGTTGGAGGGGAAAAGTGGTAGAGGGAGACCAAGAGAGAAGATGCTGAACAGTTTGACATCATGATGTGGAAGATCATCTGTGTCAAAATTTATTGACAGTACACAAGACAGAAGGTTTTTCATTTCTCTAATTTCTTGAAGCACAAGATCAGTTAAACTTAGATTTACTACATCATAGTTCTCTCCCAGTAGTAAATCAGTTAAACATGCTTTTACTAAATCACAGGTTCCCACATCAGTCAATCAGCTAAACATGCATTTACTAAATCATAGTTCTCTTCCAGCACTAAATCAATTAAACATGCATTTACTAAATCATAGATCTCTCCCAGCACTAAATCAGTTACACTTGCATTTACTAAATCATAGATCTCTCCCAGTGCTAAATCAGTTACACTTGCATTTACTAAATCATAGATCTCTCCCAGTGCTAAATAAGTTACACTTGCATTTACTAAATCATAGTAGTTTTGTCGCCCAGCTTGAGTTGAGTGCATGGCGTGACACTGTGAGCTGCGTTTGTTTTTCGTTGGCACAGGAGCGGAGCATATGTGGGGTGACCCGTTTGCTATGAAGCTGAAACTAGGATTACCAGATTACTAAATCATAGATCTCTCGCGGGGCACTAAATCAATTAAACATGCATTTACTAAATCATAGATCTCTCCCAGCACTAAATCAGTTACACTTGCATTTACTAAATCATAGATCTCTCCCAGCACTAAATCAGTTACACTTTCATTTACTAAATCATAGATCTCTCCCAGTGCTAAATCAGTTACACTTGCATTTACTAAATCATAGATCTCTCGCGGGCACTAAATCAATTAAACATGCATTTACTAAATCATAGATCTCTCCCAGCACCAAATCAGATATACTTGGAATTTACTAAATCATAGATCTCTCCCAGCACCAAATCAGATATACTTGGCATTTACTAAATCATAGATCTCTCCCAGCACTAAATCAGTTACACTTGGCATTTACTAAATCAGTTACACTTGGCATTTACTAAATCATAGATCTCTCCCAGCACCAAATCAGATACACTTGGCATTTACTAAATAATAGATCTCTCCCAGCACTAAATCAGTTACACTTGCATTTACTAAATCGTAGATCTCTCCCAGCACTAAATCAGTTACACTTGCATTTACTAAATCATAGATCTCTCCCAGTGCTAAATCAGTTACACTTGGCATTTACTAGATCATAGATTTCTCCCAGCACTAAATCAATTGCACTTGCATTTACTAAATCATAGATTTCTCCCAGCACTAATTCAGTTAAACTTGTTTTTATTAAATCATAACTCTCCTCAGGACTGAAACATTTATACTTGCATTTACTAAATCATAGCTTTCCAGCATAATATCAAATAAAATTGCATTTACTAAATCAGCTACACTTGCATTTACTAAATCATAGTTTTTCTGCACCCTTGGATCACTTCAACTGTTGAAGAAACCTGCATCCTAATTCAGTAATCCCTAAAATTACAAACCCTAAATTTCAAACTGCCTTATTTATTCAGCAACCCTGCAAGCATGCACCAGAAATAGTATGCAGATCATATATGAATCAATTGCTTGTGATAGTGAGAATGGTGCAGCTGGGGAATGTCCAAGGGATCTAGCCAGTGGTCAGCACAGAAGGAAAGCAAGGCATACATATAATCAAATCACTGCTAGCTCCATTGGTATTGGAACTCATGCACTGGCTGATGAAGGTGGGGAAGTAGCGATGCTGGGAATGCCCCAACAATTGTGATGTCTGTACATAAGTCATCTCAACCAGAAATAGCATATAATGCTGTATCCACAGTGATTGTTTTTATTTTTAATGTTTGCATCTATGGCATTTTATCTGGCAACTGTCTTTAGTTGCACCTGTGAAATGAATATACTATGTTATTCATTTTGACTGACTTAGGCTTTGAGCATATTGTATCAGATTGTAAATATTTAGTTTGTTGAATCAGATTGTAAATATTTAGTTTGCTGTTTTAATTTTATTTTACAGCTTGTATAGAAATGTTGATTGTTCCATTATTTTATATCTTCCAGGTATAATCATGAAAATGTTAGTATTTTATTTTCCAGAAAGCTTATGTTGTCTGCTGTTGATATCTTTGTTTTCCTAGTTTTACACAAGTCAGTTTTTTACCTGTTAAATATTTCCCTTTATTTTACTTCCTTTTAAAAAAAAATAAGAAACAGTCTTTGTAAAGTGAACATTAGGTCCAATGTTTACAATGCTGGGTTCTGATTCAGGAGCTCAGCATTTAAATGCTTGTTAGGGTGGTGGAAAGTGGTAAGCATCACTTCAGAGGTTCCATATAGCGTGTTGTGGATATTTTCTCCAGGTCATGCAGGAGTGTTAAGAAATGAACAGGTAGACATATTGACTGGTTCTTCACTAATGTTTGGTGAATTTATGCATGACAAGCTATTTGTGGTCAGTGCCCTTTGGGAGCAAGGGAACAATGCAGAGGCACGAATCAGTCTTTATGATCTTGAAAGAATTGTCCAGCTGGTAATGACCAGGGGATCTGGACAACACTCTGAACTCAGAGTAGGAGCAAAAGGAACATATAATCAAACAACTGCTATAGTTGGAATTTGAATTTTTCGCTGGCTCATGAAGATGAGTATGGAGCGCTTATGGGAATGGCCCAGTGCTGTGATGTCAGTTCTTAACTCAGCATTCCACTAAGGTGATGGGAATTGTTTCTGTGACAAACAACAATCCTTATCTTGACAGTTCTTGGCAACTGCACTAGCCATGGGGTCATAAATCACTCAAAATGACCCTCCATTCCCTGGCCTACTTGGCCCTAACAAGTGAAATAACAGTGCCAGTAAAATGCAGTTATTGTTTCTGTTCAACTGAGTTTGACTGCTTGGGTTTCAACTAGACCTATGTACATTATCTTGCTTGTTTTATGATCAACAGGCTTTTTTGATATGTGCTCTTGTGATTCACATTCAAATATGGCTGTTTGAGTCACTGTGTCTCAGGCTGCAGTCCTAGAGAAGACAAGCTTTTTTTTAAAGGTTTAAACACTATAAGCAACTAAACATTAATAAACATAAGTAAACATCATAGATTTAGACTCAGTAGAGATTTGATTATTGGGAAGTCTGTCAGTGATTTTGTGCAAAAGGGGGGGGGGGGCTGATAGGGTTAGTGAGCCGTAGGGTTGTTGCATGTTCTTGCAAGTGATGAATATTCAGAGTGCTTAAATAGTGAGATGTTGACATTTTAGCCACATAAATGTGTTTTACAAGTGATGGCATAGTTTCTCATGGTTATCAGTGGTACTGCCATGTTGTGTTGTGTGTTGATGTTGTTAATTAACTGCTGTTATATGATATATGTTACCTCTGAGATGTTATTGATATGATGTCATCTCTGCTCTTGATATGCCTTTGTCATCTCTGACACTGCTGATAGATTTGATAGATGTCATCACTAATTCTGATATTGATTTGATAGATGTCATCCCTGATTTTGTAGCAGATTTGAAAAATGTCATCTCTGCTCGTCTTGTTGATTTGATAGATGTCCTTT